TTTTACAATCATTGTTTAATTACAATAATAAATTTAAATAATCAAATGTAAAAAATACAAACACAAATGGCAATGTACAACATTGTGTACTCTGAATAAATGATATTCACAAGTCATTACCGACGATGAAACCTCTTCTCGAAGATTTGTTGATACATCATCTTTGTCCGAAAAACCAACACACATGAGACAAGAAATCCGAGAGAAGCCACAGATGCAATAATCATAAATGACAATCGAAAACAATGAGGACCATAACACGTGTTACCTTCTCCACTTATGGTCCGATCATATATATAACCAATCAATCTTACAGAGAAGATATACGAACCCATAGGACTAGCAATCGAAATGGTGTTGTAAATTGTTCCCATATGCTTAACCCCAAATAGCTCTGAAGTAATCGTTGGCATCAACGACCATTGTGATCCATAACAAACTCCTACGATAATCGAACCGGGGTAAAGGTTTCCTTGAAAACCAGAGGCTATGATTAAATGGCCTATGGTCATGGTTCCAAGAGTTGCAGCCATTAGCACCGGACGTGGCCATCCTTTCTTGTGTAACAACAAATCCGAGGCGTAACCGGCTCCAAACCGACCGACAAAGTTCCATATACTCCATAAAGACAACAACGTGTTTATCTCGATGCTCGAGTATTGAAGAGACTCGCCTATTTGTCTCATGTTGTTTATCGTCGATATCCCCGATCCCATTCCACATATCATTGCAAGAAACAACAACCAGAAGTCTACTTTACCCATAGCTTGTAAAATATTCAAGCTTTTATCTTCATCAAACACCGAGATCTCACTAGAGGTTGCTGCTTCCATATTGTCTACGAGAGGAGAATAAACATGTGACGATGGTTTGTTGTCTCGGTATGCTTGTATCACAATTAGTAAAGGCGAGGAAAGCAGAACGAGTAGAATCGCGAGTATGACGGAATTAGCCCATGATGGTAAACCAAAACTGCTCTTCACAATAATAATGATCATAAGGTAAGCTGCAATGATAAGTGACAAAGTCGATAAACCATCCAAATGCTTCTTCTCATCGACCGTTCTTGTCTCATAGATCCTAACCAGAGGCATGACCAAAACAGAGAGAAGTGGTGGTACTATTGCAAGTAAAAGAATGAAACTCTTTGGATCTCCAGGACATATTGTTTCATACATCTGAATCAACATTGCTCCACTTAGACCAACAAAACCCTACATAGAAATTTTTCAAATTAAAACCTCTGGTTGTTGTTTCTTGCAATAATACCATTAAAACTTTCAATAATCAACTGTAATAAGCAGAGAAATTTACAAATTTTTTTATTAAAAAGGGGTGATCCGGGTTTTTACTACCCGACTAACCCCCCCCCCCCCCAGGATAAATTAAAACCTTGTTACCTTCATAATTCCAACGGCAGTACCACCATAATCGGCGAAATTCTCAAGGGAGCTAACAACATTAGCCGTGTTAAGAAACGTCATAGCCTGATTAGATATAAACATAATCAGGCACATAACCGGAACCGGAGGCCGTCTAATCAAACCGGTAACAGAAGCCCACATAAAGAAATAACCGGTGAAACACAAAACCGCTCCGATCAAAATCACAACCCAAGGTCCTCCTCTTCCTCGACCTTCCCGACCGTCACGAAGACGGCGATTGAAGGTGGCTGCGGTGTATACAAGTCCAGATAAAACGCCGACGTTACCTCCAATGTCTTTGAAGACGGAGACTGTGTCAAGGGTCGATTGATCGTACGATTGACTTGATTTTAAGATGGCCGAATAGATTCCGAAGGTGTAAGAGCCACCTCCGGTACACTGAATCCATATACTCGCCGTCATCGCCATCCATTTCGTTCTCAGGATTTCCGCCGTCATCTTCCGCCGAGTTCAAACCGGATAAGAGAATTTGACGAAGAATGTAAAAAGTCACTTTCTAATCCGATAACTTGGCGCAAACTGGCACGGAATTTGATTTTATATTTTGAGAAAAAAATATCTTACAACTCTTTTTTTGTTTGCATCTGTTAGTGGGCCTGACACATCTTTACTTAAGGTCTCATAGTGATTATAAGGCCCATTTAAGGGGGAGACAGCAGAGCCACGTGGAGACTCTGTGTTCGAAGTTTAACATGCTATAGCCACATGATCGCACGTGTGGGAGAGGAGACGGAGCGGGGTGATAAATTAACGTATTTAACTAACGGAGTCAAATGGTTGAACAGTAAACGGGGATGCTGACTCATTAATGAACGTCAGTTTCTTTTTTGTCGTAATGAACGTCAGTTTTTTTTGTCACAAACCGCAAATTTTATAAAAATATGTTACTCTCCAAACATGGAGAAATTGTTTACAACCATCAAGGTATACTCACCTAATAAAACAACTTTTATAATACTCAAAAAAGAGATGAAAAAGAGAGAGATAATTGAAGATGAGAAGCTTAAAAAGCTTATCTCGAAAAAACAATCTTCAAACTCAATTGTTATTCCTTCGAAGTTGATAAAAAAGATGAGCACTTGTGGATCGCTTAACACATTCGGTGTTACTGGACCTGAAAATACAGCAGCTAAAGGAGCCTTCTTGATCACTAGTGTCTCGGCAACAAAAACTCAAAAAAAACATAGATGCGGCTAGCTGTGTTTGGATCTTGAAGCAGAAACTGCAACGATGAAAGGGAGTCTTCGCTGGACTTGGCCAGAAGTGAAGTAAGATCCCGAAAAGAGACAGCACAAAGGCCTTGGAGGAGAACATTGATGTCATCCTTAAATTGGCCACTTCTCTTACGCATTATTCTCCCTGCAATTATACTTTTCCCACCTAAAAAAGGATTAGGAAGAAAGAACACCTCCATAAAAGAGTAAACATGACAATGAATGTCCACACAATCACATACCAAACGATATATAGGATCGTAGAAGCATACCAAATATTTTGAGAATACATCCACAAAGAATGAGACTCTAACAAAGATAGTAAAACTGATTTTAACCATAACGCTTGAAAACTCCATAGACGGAAGACGGCTAGATTGTTCACAAATCCCATGAATGGGTATAGCTAATCTTAATATCATCTAAGTTCTAGAACACCAACAAATCAAAGTGATATGAGTGAACGAGAGCAAGAAGTAAACATTGTATCTGATCGAGACTAGCTCGAAGCCGAAACAGATCCGACATAGCCTGCATACAGCAGTAAGGGATCGCAGAGACGCAAAGGGAGAACCTCCGGACAACGCTGGAAAGAGAACCACATAGATAGCAAAGAGCTCCAAACGGACCACATCAGAAATCGATGTATAGAGTGGAAGGGAGATGGAGGAGATGCCAAGGATTGAAAGCCGAAAGAGGCAGTGATCTAGATCCGGTGGGTCAGGGGGTCGGGTGGGTCAGGTGGATTTGGTGCCGGATCTAGAGTCGAAACCGAAATCGAAGCCCTTACAACCGAGGCGACAAAGGCGACATCTGGTAGAGAGGCTGGAGATCGAGACCTTGCACTGCGCCTAGCCATGAGAGGAGCACGATGAGGTGGAGAAAAGAAGAAAATTTCGGCGGAGAAGCGAAAACTTATCGTCGGCGGCGATTAGGATACAAAAGTATTGTTAGGTGAGTGTGTTTTCATGTAAGCTTCTTTGCTTTTGATTTACGTAGCGGAAACCTAAACTGGTCAAAGATTTTGTACTCGTAATGAACGTCAGTTAATGTCTCAAATATACATGTGGTCACGTCAATTATTTAATTTCTTTTTTTCCTAACTACTTATCTAACCTTTTTTATTTAATTTTATTCCTAACTAGTATCTAACCTTTTTATTGCCGACGAAAAAAATACTCTTTTGAGTTTATTTAACGTTTTCGTTCATGTGTTGTCGTGGATAAATAACTTTTATACAAACATATATGATGTCTGCAAGTGACATTACCATCTATACGATACCTTTTAAATACAAAAATTAGATTTATATTTGGATAAAATCAATGATTCTTTTTCTTTGACATAAAAAAAAAATCAGTGACTCTATTAACAACAAAAAAAAATATCATATGATGGTTAACAAAGTGAAATTGATATATCTTCTAATTCAAATTTGCAAAATTTTGGAAGAGTAAAACCAAATTAAAAGCCCTTATAGTTATAGTTATAGCCTTTCAAAGCTTTGATTTAAGATTAGATTGGAAAACCAATTGTAGTAGATTCGAACATTTCATGCATTTTTAATTACGATGAAACATATTAGTAGGTTTGACTCTAGACTTCGGTTTGTAACCAATGTTAAAAAAAAAAAAAAAATTTAAATAGTAAACGACAATAATACGATAAATAATTAAGGCGGGGTCACATGGGGACAAGTAAATTAATCCCGCCACAAATATGTATGATAAAAGCCTTGTTGGTCGTTGAGCTTTCTAACGTCTCCATCACTCCCAATTTTAAATTTAAAAAACCCCTTAAACTCTTAAACAA